TTTTCAGTCTCTCATTTCCTTAGAAATGCGTCGGTGAGGTCTCCGTGCGTACAGAGGTGCTAGCCTGGCAATCCTTTCAGAACTTTGAAGACACTAACTCATCATCTTCCAGTTCTCATCATTTCTATAATTAATCTCCTCCTTTTCCCATGATAGCTTTGAAAAGTATCTCTTTTATACGTGTGTGCATGCCTGAGTGGATGTATATGTACCATGTGTGTGCCTGAGGATGTCAGCAAAGGGAATGAGCTTCCCCTGGGACTGGAGCTGTAACTGTCGCTACTGGAAACCAGACCTTGGTCCTCTGCAGGGGCAGTCAGCATTGGAGCTTCCCAAAACTGAGAAGAGGTAACTTTTATCAAGCCTGGACAACTATCAATCAGTATCTCTAAATCTTTCTGTTTCCTTTGCCCTATCCCTTGGATTTTATTCTAGAGTCCAGCCTAGAATAATCTGATGCTTTGGAGACTCCTGGCCTTTCTGTTGCAACGCTGCTATTCATGCCTCAGCCTGGACATTGTTGACGAACCAGAAACATAAACTTCTGTTTCTAATAGATTTTCCTTCTCCTATGTATAAACTACTGCAATACCATTTGTTAAGTTTGCAATTTCAGTTAGGAATGGGTGGAAATTTTTTTATTAATATTTGTTTTTATTATGTATGTATGTATATATGTATGTATGTATGTATGCATGTGTTAGCCTGCATGTTTATATGTGAACTTTGTGCGATCATGCTGGGAGAGGGTGTCACAGCCTCCATCAGTTCAGTGGTGAGAGGATTTCAGTGGAGCTGGCTGCTGGGCTTGCTGAGGCTGTCGCGTCTCTGGCTCTTTCCCTCTGCAGACACTTGTGAGTCTAGTGGAAATTCTGCTGTTTTCCAGTGCCAAGCCTCCATTTCTTGCCTTTGGAAGTTTTCACTGGGTTTTGTTTTTCTTCACACCCCTAAGACCATGAGGTCAGCTTTCTCTTATACCCACAACAGACGACACCCACACCAAAGCCCCAGCTGGATTTCTCCAGGAACACATGATACTGTGACGGCTACGTGTGGATCCACTAAGGCACCCGAAGCCCCTTTTCGCCTCCTGTCCAGTAGTCATTGCTAGTCTGACGGTTGACGATGGGAAACCCTGAGGGTGACTTCTCCTGTGCATTGCCGAAGCATCCCTGCCTCGACCTTTGCTCTGGTTTTCCTGAGCTGCTCTTGTCTCATTCATAGTCAGAGGTATCTGTTGGGACAATGAAAATAGGTTCAAAACTACCTAGCAATGACAGAGGAAACACTAAATGTGGCTGGGTTGCACACGTTAAAATGACTAAAGATATAATTTTAGGTTAAGTGGATTTTCCTGTAAATAAAAATAAACCCCAATTAACTCTGCTCACCCCAGCACATCCTAGCAGCACGTAGCCTGTGCTTGCCTGTTCAGCTCTCCTCGGTCTCTGTCTACTACTCAGTGAGCATACAGAAGCTGTGTCTGCTTACCTGTTGTCTCCTGCACATACAGGAGCAGATCCCTCCCTGGCAGTGTATTCCTGCACCCCTGAACCCCTGCCCACCCACCACTGAGGAGTCTGCCCTGTCCTGTCTACATCATAAGGCCATTGTGAATTTCTCTGTGTTCTGGCAGCCAAAGAAAAGCCCCGACTGGGAAACCTCTCCTGCTAGATCTGCACCTCTAGATCCAGGGAGAATTGAATCATTTACTCAGAACTAAATTGGAATGAAGCTTTAAGTGTTTGCATAACTCTCTTGAAATTCATGGCACACTTATGACCCCTGGAACATCTGGAGCACATGAGTTTTGAAAGCTCCCAAAATACATCATTTCTGGGGATGAGGCTATTTCCATCTGGGGAGCCCTGAGATTAATCTTGTCACATTTACATATGTAATCACAGCTCTGCCACATTTGGTCGCACACCTCTGAATGTTGCTGAGTGGCTTGCATCCTTGATTTGTGAGTCGTGAGACTTAGCTATAAAAAAAAAAAGAAACCTGAATGTGTTATTTTTTTTCAGCACTCATAAATTTACTTTTGCGGTCGATGTTGGTAAAACTCTGTATGTGGATCAGCCTGGGAACTTGGCACCATCTGAAGCAGCCTTGTGCCTACAGAGGCTTTACCTTCCAGTGTTAGGGACACAGGGCCCCATGTCATGTCATTGGCTCATTACGTATGGTAGCTCACAAGTGGACCAAGGTGAGACACATCCCAGCAGAAGATGATTATGTCCAGCTCCCTTGTGCTCCTCACCACTGAATGATGGAGGATGTGGAAGGTGTCCAGGCTCAAGGACATGTGAATGTAGAGGAGGAAGGATGCTCAGAGAGAACAAGAATCGCGCTGTCCTTGTACTGTGTCAGCGGGGAAAGAAAATCCCCTGCCTTGCTGCAGAGCAGAGAAAGTACTGAACAGCAGACCCCAACAGACAGTCCTTGCATGGACAGCACCAGCCACACTTTGGAATTGCTATTGTTGCAGGTGCGCAAGGCCCTCTGTGGACCCTCAGAATGGGAAAATCCAAATATTTTTATGCACATCCAAGTGAGAAAACCTCTCCTTAAACAACTCTTTGAAACCAAGATTGTTGACATGACTGTCGCGGACTGGGTGTTCCAGGGTAGCCAAGTTAAAGCTGATAGTTTAACTCTAGGAACCTCTTAAAATTAATTTACTTATTTCTTTGCATGTGTGTGAGTGTGTGTGTGTGCGTGCACGTGTGTGTGTGCAGGAACACAGGAAGTGGTCAGAAGAAGGGACTGTGTGGCCAGGCATGTTACGTTTGTGCTCAGATCTTTACTGCATCCTCCATAATTGCACAGCCCGCCCACATTAACTACTGAGCCATTACAAATCCTACGGGTTTAATATAGATCATTATGGATGGATACTATTAATGGCAAACAAATGTTTGTTTATTTTGTGACACTTGAGAGCTAACCCAGGACCTCTACATGACTACCATTCCTCGTATATCCAGGCACTGTGCTAAGCACTCCATACACAGTATCCCAGCACGTCTCCACAGTGAACCGAAGGGGAAGTATTTCTCTCCAGGTTGGACAGTCAGTGGTGCTCGTGCTGCTAGAAAGCAAGAGAAGCAACCCGCCCTGCTGCGATGGCCACAGACAATTGAACCCCATTCTAAACAGTGTAGAACCTAACACTGTTGAAATAGGAGCGGAGGGGCTGCATCCCCAGCACCCTGGCCGCCTGGCTAGCTTATGCCTGAAATAACAACACACAAACTGTATTCATTTAAACACTGCTTGACCCATTTCTATCTAGCCTCTTCTAGGCTAATTCTCACATATTAATTTAGCCCATTTCTAATAATGTGTGTAAGCACCCCAAGGTGCGCTTACTGGGAAGATTCTAGCCTACGACCATCCTGGGTCGGAGGAGCTTCCTTGCATGCATCTCTGTCTGAGGCGTCTGGCTCTGAGAGGAGCTGCATTACTTCTGACCTCACTTCCTCTTCCTCCCAGCATTTTCTTCTGTTTACTCCACCCACCTATGGTCTAACCAATAAAATGGGCCAAGCCAGTTTCTTTATTAGCCAATGACCTTCCTCCATCATAACACTGCTTTAATAATCGAATGTCTACCCGCAGGGCTGGGCAGGGTTTGACTCCAATATTAAGGGTGGACGTGCTATGAGGTCAGAGATGCCAACTTTCTCTTCCATTTGAGTTATCCAACAGGCGACTTGGGCACCTGCGAAAAGTCAGTGTTTCAGCAAAAGCAGAAGGATATTTCAGAAAAACATCTTCGGCAGTGGCCCCAGCCCATGTCCATGGTTGCGTCGGCAGACCTGTGGAAACCAAGAATGTAACGCTGCACAGAATCCAAAATGAGTGGGTTTTTTAGTTAGTAGTGCAGATGAAGTGAGAGGAGTTTTGATGCGTCCTTGGGTACCAGTCCTCCTCATGCTCATTTATGGGGCCCTCTGAAGCCCCAACAGTTCTTTTCCCAGCTAAGAGTCGGGGCAGAAGAAAACACACAACCTGCTTTTAGTGGACAGCAGGGTAGAGGCCCCGAGTCAGCGTGTTTAAACACATACTCGTGAGCTCGTGCTGAGGAGTTTGGGATCCGCCTTTTTACTCCCTGCATTCGGTTCAGTTTTCCACCTAGCTCTATTCTGCCCTGCCGTAGGCCAAAGCAGCATCTTTATTAACCAATGGTAATAAAACATATTCACAGCATACAGAGGGGAATCCCGCATCACCAATGTCACCACTTATTTTGAAATGTGTCAAAAGATTCGGTGAACTCCCAGATGGAGTCAGGCGTGAGAAAGAACAAAGATGGCAGATGTTAGTGCACAGAGGGGCCGGGGGGGAGGGTGATGTGAGCACAGGAGTCTTTGTGGAAATAGTCTGTGTATTTGAACTTTTTTATAACATGATATCGGAAAAATTAGACTATTCTAATTCTGTAAGTGCTTAAAAATAATCTTTTATTTCAGGCATCAAGGATTTCTGTTTGTTATTTTAATTAATTAATTAAAAATATCCCCTTTATTACCTTTAAAAACTTAGTGGGGAGAGCCTCCCAGTGTAAGGGCTGGTTGGGCTGATTAATTAAAAGGCAGAAGTTGCAGCCTGATGTGGCCTTGGGTTAAACCTTTCTGCCTCCAAGTCCTAATTAGAGAAAACACTACAGCATTCACTCCCTGCTGGGGATCAGGAGAGAAAGTCACTCCAAAGGGGAAAGAGAAGTCCTGTTCAAGATGATGTGAACTGGTGTACAATCTAAGAACTGGAGCTAAAAAGCTCTCTGAACTCTAAGGTAAGTGTGAGGACCACTGTGGAAGGAAGGCTTCTGTATCTGCTTCTCTTTGTTTGCTCTCTGGCGACAGAACTCAGGGATGGGCTCTACCGTTAAACTACGTCACACACCGTTCTGAATTAGTGTTTAACCCGAGCTTCTATTTTCCATACAATGGTAATATGTATTTCTCTGTGTTCTTTTGTTTTTGTCCACTAAGGTAATTGTCCGAGGTGGAGGACACATCTTGCCCCATGACCAGCCGCTGAGATCTTTTGATATGATCAATCGATTCATCTTTGACAGAGGATGGGAACCTTATAATTCATAAACTACTTTCCTTAACTAGCTATGAGTTTTAATCACAAAATAATAAAAACTAAAGATGTCATAGAAATAAGAAATGTATCCTTTTATATTTGCAAGCTATTTCTTACCAATAAAAGTCACCCTGAAAATGCATGATTTTTTGTTTGTAGTTTATGGTTTGTTATCACTCCGAAATGAGAAGCACATGTCTTGATTTAGCGGATGGGAAGAATGGGTTCTGATAGAATATCTCGTCCTTCCCAGGATAGAAAGTTTAACAAATTAATAGACTTGTGATAACATCTGGTTCGGTAAATAATGCAACAGTTTGTCTCATAACACATCTGTGTTAATGGCTTTCCTGTGCTTTGATCGAGATACTTGGCCTCCAGACACAGCTAAGGAAAGGAAGGTTCGCTTTGGCTGTGGTTCCAGTCCTTCGTGCAGGAAAGCTACTGCAGGGGCTCAGACCATGCTAGCAGGCGTGTGGAGCGAAGCTGTTCACACACTGGTGGGTCAGGAAGCAGAGAGAGAGGCTAGTTGCTGGCCTGAGTTGTGCCTTCAGAGTTTACCCCTTGCTGCTCCCATCAGGGCCTCACATCCTCAAAGTCACAGGCTCCCGAATCAGTGCCACCACATGAGAAATATTGGTCCACGACATAGCCTAGATTCAAACTATAACAGCTTCTGATAGGGTTGATGACGTTACTGGAAAAACAACTGAGCAGTCAACCGAAGGTGTAACAATCTCAGGAAGGGACTTTGAACACACAAAGACTCAGCATAGAAGTTATCTTGTAATTCTCTGAAACAGAAACTGTCCTTGCAGACAAATGATACGTCACCAGCTCCCGGTAAACAGGGGGTGTGACACAGAGAGCAAATTCAATCTGTCTTTTCTTTTGTGGGTTCAATTGAGTTGTACACGCTCAGTAAACAACTTGCAGGCTCTATTAGATGAGTCATTTTAAATCTGAGTTTTTAATTTTCTGTTTTCTGTAACCAAACAAAATGAATCAAACAAACAAATCAAAATAAAAAAAATCAAACAAAGAGAGCAGCCTAGTCTTTTGTCATTGTTGGAATTGAAACTGGGCTTACCTGGCTCCAGAATATAGGTATGTTGGGATATACATTCAGTAGTGTTCCTCTGACTAAACAGTCACATTCAGGCAGGTTTTCCTTTTGACACACATATCTCTGAAATTCTAGAGCACATTTAGGTTTTCAGCAGGTTTTTACCTAGGTGTGATTTTGTCTCACTGAAAAATTAAATTTCATTTTCTCCTTTTATTAAAAATAGACTTTTTCTCAAATAATATATTCTGATTACAGTTTCTCTCCCTCTATTCCTCCCAGTTCCTCCCCACCTCCCCTCCCATCCAGATTCACCTATTTCTGTCTCTTATTAGAAATAAAACAGGCTTCTAAGGGATGCTAATAAATTATATAAAGTATAATGTAATACAATAAAACAAATATCAGCACATTGCAATAGAATAAAACAAATGAAATAAGGGAAAATAGCCCCCCCAAATGGTGTAAGTAACTGATACAGATGCAGAGACTCACTCTTTTACACATTCAGAAATCCCATAAAAACACTAAACCAGAGCCATAATGTATAGTCAAAGGATCTGTGTGGTAAAAGAAGAAGAAGAAGAAGAAGAAGAAGAAGAAGAAGAAGAAGAAGAAGAAGAAGAAGAAGAAGAAGAAGAAGAAGAGGAAGAGAGAAAATACAGAGAGATGAAGTAAAAGTAAAAATTATAAAGTATTTTATTGCTTTTGTTTGGTTGGTTTTGATTTTTCAAGACAGGATTTTTCTATGTAGCCCTAACTGTCCTGGAGCTGCTAGCTCTGTAGACCAGGCTGGCCCTCAAACTCACAGAGATCCACCCGCCTCTGCCTCCCAAGTGCTGGGATTAAAGGTGTGCGCCACCACCACCTGGCTAAGAAAAAATGATTTTAGAAAAGGAAAAGTCCTGACACAACAGTAGGAGACAAGGAACCTCCACAGACGCCACTGAGTTTGTCTTCTGTCGGCATCTACTGCTGGGGCTGCAACTTCAATGAGACTCCCTTAGAGAAAATCAAATTTCCATTTATAAATGGTTATCAATTAGAGAGGGCTTCCGGATTAGGGATGTGAGCATGTGTCCATGTCTCCTTTCAGCTCTAGGACTCCATTTGTTGCAGACCTGAGCAGGTCCTATGTGAGTTCATATATGTGATTATCATGTTGACTTAGAGGGACTCGTTTATTTTGTTTTGCTTTGTTTTTGGTGTTTTCTATTCCCTCTGGCTCTTACATTTTCTACCTCCTCTTCTGCAGGTTTCCCTGAGCTCTAAGGGGGTGATGTTGATGGAGAGATCCCATTTAAGGCTCAGTATTACGAGGTCTCTCACTCTTTGTCCGTTGTCTGGCTGTGAATATCTGTATTTGTTCCCATTTGTTGCAGGAGGAAGCTTCTCTGATGATGGTTGAGTAAGGCACTCATCTATGAGTGTAGCAGAATGGCTAGGAATCACTTTATTGCTATGTTGGTTATTTTTGTTGTTTTTTGTTTTGCTTTGTTTTTAGAAAAGTAGTATTTGGTTTTATCCTAGTTCCCTGTCTAGTCTCAGGGTTTTGCTTATCCAAGTGGTGTCTAGTATGGGTTCCAGCTCGTGGTATGGGTCTTAAGTCAAATCAGATATTGGTTGGTTACCCCTATAACTTTGTACCACCATTGCATTAGCCTATCTTGCAGGCAGGACACCACTGTAGATCAAAGGGTTTGTGGCTGTGTTGGTGCTTATATTTCTCCTTTTATAGAATGCAGAGTTACCTTCCTGACCCAAAGACACTAGAATGTGGAGGTGAAGGCTCCATGTTGGCCCCGCTCAGCTTCTCCATGTTCAATGAGTTGTGTAGTGTTGTCTTCAGCAATGGGACCTTGCTGTTAGTTTGTCAAGAGCAACCTCTAGTCTTAGTAACAGCCTGGATTGTTTGGGAATTCTCATAGGACCTCTGACCAACAACTCAATTAAATGTAACCCAATCCCGGTAGTGGAGGCTCCATTTGGTAACAGTAGTTGGCCAGTTGGGGCTCTGTCTCCCCCATAATTTGGTGATTTCATTTAGATCTCCTTCATATACATATATATTTTAGAAAGCTTCTACTGTATTAGGTTTCCATACAATCCCCCAAATTCCCCTTATTTTTGTTATCTCTCCCCAGATTCCCTCTTTCATGCCCCTCTGTTTGATTCTCCCATTCTAGTAGCCCCCACCAGAAAGGATACACGTAGCCAGAAACCAAGGACCCGAGTCTTTAGTCACAAGTCATGTGACTAAGACCCCTGATGAAGGGAAACTCTGGTGTCCCTTCCCCAACCCTCCTGCACCTGCTCTGGCCTTGCTGTGCCGATCTTATGCTGTTTAAGAACCGCTCTGTTCTTCATGCAGAACCCTGAAGAGGTGATGGCTGGCTGGGAACTCTCCAGTCCCACTGTTACATAGTGAGTCTGTCTCTTGGGGTGACACACAGCTACCTACACAAATGTGTTGGCTTTGTCTCACCTAGTATAGTTATTGCTATTACAATGCGGGAGATTTAAAACACTTTTGGGGAGGGACCTGAAAGTGATTAATTTTGTTGCCCCAAGATACCGAGCCTGGGAACTAAACACAGACTGTTGTGATTTATCTCTACCGGAGACCAAGCAAAGACATCTGGTCAATCATTTTAGCAGGATTTCTGGCAAACTGGTTTGTGTGGCGCAGGGCTAAGTGCGTTTCCCAAGGTTCCGGGTGTTGGAGGAAGCCAGGGTCGTAGCTGCTGCCTAAATGGATTTCACAGGAAATGCTGTTGCATCCGTCCAAATCATTGGGGGCAAATATTAATCTTTTCCTTAAATGCTAAATTGTCAACTCGCCAAAGTAAGAAAGGCTCATTGCAAAATAATAAATAAATAAATAAATAAATAATCCCATAGCACACACAAGTGACTGACAACTACTAACTTATACCCATGCTTCGAAGGCTGGCATCTGTGGAAGATACAGGGACCACTACCAAAATATTACATCAAACATAGAGAAAGAGCCCCCACCCCAAGGTGTTGTGACTTGAGGAAGGGGGCACAGATGAATTGATGTCAACAGCCAAAATCTGTTCACCACACACGGGTGACAAATCTCAGCAGGAGGACGAAGGCCGGAGTCTGCCTGTTGACCTGCACTGGAAATACTCGGGAATTTCCCAGTGGGTGTTTACAAACAGAACTCACGTGCACATCTAGTAATTTCTAAAATGCTCTGAAGTTCTCACACATGGGAAAAAAGGAGACCAGAAGAAGAAATACCTCAGGACTGAGGGGAAGAGCAAGTGACACACATATTAGGACCCAGAGGCATGTGGCCGTGAGCCCTGGGCACAGAGGTTCCCGGGTGACAGCCAGGACCTCCGGTCACTGCACATCGTGATGAGTCACACTAAGCTGAGAGACAGAACTTGTTCTGAGTCACAGGGACCCAAGGACAAATCTGATCTGGTGCCCTGCCCTTGAAGCCTGTAGCTGGAGGAGCCGACTTCATGAATATTAACTCCAGAGTGTGTACTCTAGCAGAGGAAGCTCCCGCATAGCTAGAGAGAAAAGGAGTGGCTAGTTGCTCCCCATTGAAGAAAAGCGGGTGCTGCCGAAGGTTGAGCCATTACGCTCACATGCAGGGACACTGAGGCTCTGAGCATGTCCCCATCTGTCTCTTATTCTTCTCCTGCTATTTATGATAGTTTTCTTTTTCCTTGAAAATTTGAATTCAAACGTAACTTCCCTAAACTCCTGTAATTGATAGAGAAGCCGCGGGTCCACGACAAGCTGACAGAACCTACTGTGAGCTACTGTGGCTGACTTGTCCCCCTCCTTGTGTCTACCCAGCCTGGGAAAGATTTAGCAGTCCACCTGCCAAATGGTCCTGGGAGAGCCTGAAGTGAAGCTTCTGTATTCAAATCCCCACACGGGGGTGGGTAGGTGGGGCGGCGGCAGCAGCAGCAGCAGCTAGGACAGGCTGTGCTTTGCCAACTCCAGTCTCCCCAGGGAAGAGAACTATTCTTTAAGGAGGACATTTTGAAACAGTCCTATCCTGTGATTCACTGGAGGGAA